TTTAAATGTATAAGGACCTTATGTGGCCAGTGTGTGAGGGGCAAACTCCAGCCAGCACTGGGGCTCGAAGCAATGAAGAAGCAACAGTGCTGTTGCACTTGCACAGGTCTAAGCCTGTACCCTGTGACTAAACTACATCTAACTGATGGAGGTGAAAAGTTCAGTGTTAAATCTTCTTCCATACACTGTTTCCTTTGATTCTCTTTCCATTGGCATCACTTTCTGGTTTATTTATGCCAAAAGCTTTAAAATCTGCTAGTTAAGCTGAAGTCAAACTTTAGAAAGACTTAAAGTCTACATTGCATGATGGCCTGCCCAGACAGATGATGTAATTAAACCCAGTGTACTGCCAGTCTGGTCTCACTTCTCTGCTTCCCTCTCCCACAGCAGCTGCAAGAGGGACTTTAGCTTGTATCTCTGCATCTAGTAGCACAATGTGAACATCTTGGTCACCTTGGTAATTTCCCTCTCCCTCCCACATGCTCTCAATAGACTTCTGTCTTTTTTCAGGGAAGAGCAGTGCTCTTCAAGACATGACATGTTTCTTCACAGAACCTTCAAGAACATTTATATTTTCTCACCATTTCATGAGAACAGATATGTTCCTGGTCTCTGCTTGGCAGAAAGGTGATTCCCTTTATTGCTACTGACAAACCCACCCTTTCTCACATGTGAAATAAGAAACTGTTCCATAAGTAACACAGGTAACACGGGCTTTAAATACAAGTGTTATCGCATGTTCACACCACTTGCAAGATGTCCCCTTTAGACAAGGTGTGCTCTTCTGCTTTTTGTTCTATTGCTTGCACACCAATCAGCATAAGGCAGCTGGATAACAAGGTAAAAACAATCCTGCAGACTGTAAATCAGCTTCTCAGGAAGCTCTCTTCCTTCTTCTCTTTCTTAATGCAGACATCTAGTGTTTTAGGTGCTTTCAAAGGTATTGTGATAAAAGTTTGAGATGTATTTTTCAGTTAACTCATAACACTTGCAGGGCCATTTAAACTGGAGAAATCTCGTAAGAAATGTCAAAGCCAGCTACCCAGAGGGAATTGAAGAATGTAATGGAAAGCAAACGACCTCAGCTCAAGCAAGCTTTGCTTATGGAGCCATCCATTTCTGATGGACAATGTAAACCTACTTCTTTCCCAGCCCTTTTCCCCAGGCTGAAATGTTTTATGACTGAAATTGTTTCTGACTTCTAAAATTTTTCCTGATTTATGGAAAATTTAGATTTCTGGATGTTGAAAAATGTGACTATTCTTGGAAAGGTGAAGTAGGAAGAGCTAGTGAGATGTTCTGAGAGCTCTGTAACTTCAACCTCTGAGGCCATAATCTAGAAGCAGTTCTCAGGAATCAAACTGGTCCTCAGGAAAAGCATCTGGTGAATCCTTATCTGGAAGAAAAGGTGCAGCCAGAACCTGGGCCCAAGTGAACTTCAGCATGCACAGGAAGGAAGTTGCAAACAAGAAAGTAAAGGAGTGAAAGGCAACAGTACTTCCAGTGACTGACTTGCCTGTGTGCATCAACATCTAATTACCATAATACAGTATGATACCATGATATCTCCTGTTTGATGAGTTTACACTGGTATGAGAACTATGTGCCTTAGCTTTGTCAGGAATTTTTCTCATTAAGCAACCTGTGCCTTCTACCCTTGTCAAAATGTGGGTTCTTGTTTGTGCTTACATTTAACAGAGCATTAGTAGGTCTTTCCAGCAGAGTATGTCATTTGCTTTTCAGCCCATAACCTTTAAGGCTGTTGCTTATGTTATATGCCTTTAGTATCTTCATAGCAGATGCTGCACAGCATTGACAGACCTGTGTATTGGCACTAACCATTGTCTGTTTCAAATATGTTTTCCTTAATTTACTTCAAGCATATTATTTCCCTCTCTGCCCCTATACCCATATAGACTTTGCTTCTTTTTGCTTGCTCCTTCTTCATCATCTTTAATGCTACTCAAAATTGCAGCTAGTTTTCTTGCAATGTCTTTTGAATTTCACAGTTTGTAGGTAAGGGTTAAACCTGTCTTCATCATGGATTAGTCCTGGTTTCTGAGCTCTTTGTTTATGGTTTTAGACTTTGTTTCACTTCTCTACATAACTCTTTCCTAGTTATGACAAGAAATATACAGTTTACTGCTATTCCCACAGTGCTTGTTTTCGTTTTTTCCTTATTTCAGAGAGCTACTCAGTGTGTGCTATTCCAAAGCTTCTGTTGTGCTTGCAGTTCTTCTGCTATGGCTGTTAACCTAAAAGAGCCTTTACAGAAGACTACTTTCAGCCATACCAGCACAGATTTCTCGTAGGGTCCACACAGGCAGTGCTGAGGCTGCAGTTCCTGTGTGCACATCGTTGCATGCACTCCCACATCAGATTTGTAGGCTTCAGTGCAGGCTGGATTAGAAGATGTCCTTTGCACCTTGTCCCTCAGGTGGTTCATCAGGCCAGCTTCATCCTCCAGCAATGTCACTGCATTGAGGTAGCACACCACAGTACTTGCACACAGCAACAGAAACTTGACTAGCTTTGAAGAAAGTCCTTCATCTGTTGCACTGAGGCTTCTTGGTCATTAAATTCACAGTCAGAGAGCAAACCAAGAAACAAAAATCCAGGAAAGAAGTGAAAAAAACCAGAAGGTTGAAAGAAGACACTGTCCTGAACAGACCATGCCTGCATTGGATTTGTGACAGCCTTAAGGCTGACGGTTTTGGGGCGGTTGTGCAATCCTTCTCATTATTCACCCCACAAATCTGCTGTCTACTGCACCTTTCCAGTGAGGGGCATTCCCCCATCTTTGTCAAAACAGAAAGAAAACTAAGGCAAGATGCATATAAGTGGTCCCTACTGCCATTTGAATATTATTCCCTACCAACAACAGTTTATTCATATTTTATTATTATTCAGTTGTTAATTCAACTTGTTTTTTCTCCATCCACTTACAAATAAGTTAAGCAACAGGCTTATCTCTCAAAGTGAGATCTGATTGGCAAAATATAGTTTAGACTTTTTTAACTACTAACAAACAGATACTATCGATCTGGGGTCTGTGAGGAACAACAAACAAAGTCTCTTGGTTGGTATTCGTCTACAGAGTCATTTGTCATTGTAAAGCTGAACTTTGTCATACTGTCCTGAATTAGCCCTGAGGTTTGCCACGAACTTTTAAATGTTCTTCTGTAGAATCAGTTTATCTGTGTTACACCAAGACCAGGTACTTATATGTTTAGTGGTATGAAGCCAACTGTTTGTTACTAGATATTGAGCAGACTAAATTCAGTTATGAGTAAGAAAGTTTTGTCATTGGTTTACATGATTTTGAGGAAGGCTTTGAGAGTCGATGTCAAGTGTTACATGGAAGGCAGACATGGAAACGTGCTCGTATTTCTTATCGGTATGATTACAGCTACAATTTACTAATATTGGTAGCATTAGTTTAATGTCAAAGAAAATAAAGATCCCCAAAACAATCAAGATAACTGTACTTTAGAAATATTCACCAAAATTTTTAAGTTATATTTTTCACAGACATTTTAAGAGATTGAAGTCTAAAAAGTTGCCATTTGTATTTTACGTTTTTTCTTCTGGTTTGAGATATTCTATTAAAAAAGATTTAATTAATCTGTAATTTAAGTGCTTTCATTGCCTTTATGTATTTTAATACGACATGCTAAGGATATGGTTTTAAAAAATTAAAGAAAAAATAAGAAAATAATTTAAATATTTACTGATTTTTTATTCTTTCCTTTCATAACTGTACAACTATCTAGTGTAGCTGGTAAATTAAAATCCTATAAATTGAGTCACTATAAAACAACATAATAGAAATAAGTTAGAATTGTGAAACCTAAAGTGAAAAGGCACAAATACAAAGTCATAGTATGTTTTTACTCTATAGCAGTAATCCAGTGTTAACATTTAGAAAGGTAACTTTTCAAATATTTCTTGCATTTTGTTTGTGTGTCTATGATAGTTCAAAACAGGTTAACAGTCCCTAGGAAAGTGCTGCTGTTCCTGGTGAGGAAATACAAACTCTCTGGAGTTATAATTTTTTTATCTGTCCTGTTTTCTGCCACAGTCTGACAAGTCTGTCTGGAAAGTGTGATAGTGAAGGTGCTGTCAGTAGGAGAAATTGGAAATTACAGTGGCAACATATCTGTAAGAAGGGAACTGGTGTTATGTCACGGACTGCTCCACTGTACTTTTATCTCGGGGCATTAGCAATAATAGCTATATTAGCAAGAGAAAAAAGAAGGTATTTTTGCAGGTATAGATTCCTTCCTTAGTAGAAGAAACATAATTTGTAAAGCAAAAAACCTTCTTGTCTTCATGAGGAGGGCTTTCACTGAGGAGGAGATAGAGGGACACAAGGTAAAACAGCAGCACTCATCAACTCTTTACATGGCTGTGTCCTCTGGTGTCCCAATCACTGATCCTGCAGCTTCACTCCACACTTGTTTAAAAACCAAATAAATTAATGGAAATTCACTCCAATATTAAGGGAATCCACATTTATGACTAGTCATCAAAGGTTATTAGATTAAACAGGGAAGACTTCTACCTCCCACCTCCTTTTCCCTGTTTCTCTTCTTCTGCTCTCTCATACACACACCATGAGTGTACAGCAATAGCTACATCTGGAAACTTTAAACTATCTCAAATACCCTACAGGAGCATGTCAGGAAGGGCTTCTTACAAAACAGATGAAAAGTGACTTGTATTTGTTAACACTACAGGTTAGACATGGCTGTAGACTGGGATGAGGGAAGGGAGGAGAGGGAAATACCAGGGACTTTTGGACAAGGAAGTCCAAAAGTAACAGTCACAGTGACAGTCACAGCCAAAGAACTGTCCAAAGTCCTTTGTGTTTTAAGGGATTAATAATGTATATAAGGATAATGGCTAAAAGATTAGCACTAGTATGTAGTGGTATGTACACATAAATGTTTTGCTGGACCACAGGAACTTAGGCAGCAGTGTGCATAAGTGCGTGTCCTCTGGTCAGTCAGACATTTTTCAGAGGGTTTACGATTTTCCCTATGAAGAGAATGGTGCGGGTATATTTATCCAGAATCATCAGGAGAAAGGGCCTGTTGAATTTGACTCGAGGTGGATGAGGAAAGTCACCAGATCTCCAGGTAAGCTCCTTCACTGTGGTCCCCACTGCTTCAGTGCCATTCTCATGAACATTCAGCACAGCTCTGTGGATCACCTGCAAAGATACAAAGCAAAACAACTACCAGTTGACAACCCGTCAAGACGAGAGCAGCCTGCCACTCTCCTCACTCTTGCCAAAGGAGCCCTGCCTGGGGTGAGACCCAGCAGCACCAGCCTTGGGAAGGTCATCACCAGCCGCTCCCCTCCTCACTGCAGCATAATCAACCATCAGACCACTCCTGCTAACCTCTTTCACTACATGTGCAGAGAGTAACCCTCAAACAGCAGACAGCCAAAGAGCACTCAAGATGACTGATGGCAAGAAACTCTGGAAGCAAAGAAACCTGGTAATTTAGCCTAGACTTAGTTTTGCCTTTGGCAGCTTCATGTATTATTGTGAATTTACCCTATCATCTTGCTG